CAGGGTCCTCGAACTAGAGGATCTTCTTGGCCCCGACGACAATGTGGCCGATGCAGCGATGAAGAGGAGCTTCTTGGCCCCGGCGATGCGCATAGCATGGGCGACGGACTAATCCATCATCTGCATGGACACAACACAATATAGGATAGAGTCAAACTACAGTGATGGCCATCTCCACACCGTCGATCAACTGGGCAAAGGCTTTTGTGAGCTCCTTGAAGTAGGTTGCGATAGGATCGGTGGTAGATCCTACGGGCAGATCAGGAACATACCTGAGACAGAAGAGCTGCAGGGCCTGCGTAGCCTCCACTACGGCGGCATCAAACACGTACCCACCTTGGGACTGCAGAGACACGCGTGGCAGAGACGCTAGCTGGCGTAGATGAAAACCTATAAGAATGCACATACTAGTACTCATGAGCAAAATCAAGCACACACTGTATACACCAAATTGAACTGAGAGCCATAGATTTATTAGAGATCTTACCCACATGTCGGTCATGGAATAATCCAACCCAACATCTAACAAAACTCTCATGAGACTCATGCCCTTGTTAGCGCTCTTTTGAAACTTGTTGACATCTCCGAAGAAAGGCTAAGCCCTATAGTGAACGTAGTCCCACCAGTACAACATTCTTCCTCTTAAGAAAGAGATTCAGATCTGCGTGTTTTGCAAAAAAAATGTATTGTGCATACAAATCAGCTTTGATTCACTTCAATAAACAGCAAGAAATCAATAGGAGCATAGGGTCGTACCCTCTCACCCGGTCTAACAAGCAACTACAGGCCTAACAAGCCCAACAACTTGTGCGCGGTTTTAGGCCCACCGAAAGTGTTCTGTCGTCTCGATGTGTCTGTGTGTTATAGAGGTAGTGGTAGATTGGCTTATGTTCACTTCAATAAGCAGCATGAAGGAAAAAAGTCCATTTAACCTCCTTCACCATTGTGTAAGTTCGATTTGCTTTCCTAATAAAAAATGGATGTTTAGACTACCACAATTTTAAAACCATCATATTTACCTTCCTAAACAGTTTTAAAAATGATTTTAGCTAATGTGGCATCACGTCAACCGTTCTACATGATGCCACATTAGCAACGAGGGAGATAAACTTTATTAAAAAATATATATAAGTATTTTTCAAAAAATTAGCAAATGTTTTTCTAGAATAAATATGTACTTAAAATACTAAAATTTATAATTAAATATTTGAAATTTTGTTTTGACTTAGAAAAATATGAAAACCAGATTCTTTTTTTTCTAAAAATCATGCCCTACCCTTTTCTTAAAATTATTTGAATCTTATATAATCTCCTAAGAGCATCTCCAAGAGTTCCCTAAATATTCCTCCTAAAAAGTTTATGTTTCTCAACTCCTAAAAAGGTTTTAGGAGAAAAAAAAAAGGTCATCTCCAATAGTTTCTAATATTTGACTTCTAAAAATTCAAATGTTGGTCCCACTTATGTATATACGAACACATATACAAAATGCAGGCAATCAGCATTCATGTCAAAAGCACAAGCTATGTGCAGGCATCAGGCGGCAGCAGCAGGTACGCATCAGCGGCAACAGCAGGTAGCAATATTTCCCTCTAAAGGGAAAAGTTCATGTGGTACGCACATGTATATGGATCAGAAAATAGATAATTAATTCGAGCTGCATTGGTAGCCTGCAAACTGCATTAACAGTTTTCGCCTTTGAGAAACAAATCAATTAGGACATAAATGTGGCCAATAATTGTTTCTAAGCAAAGAGAACAATACCAACAACACAAATTCATCGAGATGAGGAACTTATGAACTTGTTCAGCTCGGCGAGATCAGGATTGGAAGCCTGCGAAAACAAGATATCCCAATGACATATTTTTCAACTGAGAAAAAAGTGAAGGAGTTTGTGTCGAACTTGAGTTCATGTAGAACTTACCATGGATTTTTTTCCCGATCTGAGCTGGTGTCCCGATCGATTTTTTCCCGATTTGAGCTGGTCTCCTGATCCGAGCTCGTAGGCCCGGCCGCCGCTGGCGGCGCCTTCCCGGCTGGCTGTCACCCGGCCGAGACGCCCGCCCCGCCCGCGCAGAGCCTCCTCCAGCCCAGGGCGCCGTCCGCCGCATTCGCCGCCGGTGGCCACCTCCGTTGTTCCTCGCCTAGAGCTCCTCGTCCCTGCTGAGGTTGCGCCTCCGTTCCTGCCCTGGACGAGAGGAGCGGCAACCTCGTCCCTGCGCACGGACGGGAGGAACAGCAGCGCTGCGCGACGTGAGAAGCGGCGGCGCGGGACAGGAGCGGCGGCAGCGTTGAATGGAAGCGTCGGCGGTGCGGGAGGGAAGCGATGCGGCGGGAAGGATCGGAGAAAAGCGCGCGACTCCAAGGCGCGAAGGCAGAAACCGCGCGACTCAAGAGCCGCGTAAAGTTACACGAAACTGACTCACCCAACTACCTAAATATCAGGAGCATGAATTAAGAACTGTTGGAGAGAGATTTTTTCTCATTTTTCTAAAAACCAAGTATTAGAAAGACAAATAGGGAACTTTTGAAGATGCTCTAAAACTTGACACTAGGCCAAATATGAAAAGAGAATGAAGACCAAGACAAATCCTTACAGACCGAAACGTGACTCACCGCACAACTTGTCATGCAAACTACAAAAAATGTTTTCTTGGAAGCAATGTCTTGCTTAACCATCAAGACATGCGCGGAAAATTTCAAATAAAAAATATAATTCAAGATTTGACTACACATTAACAACATATATCATGTGGTTTAGCTTTGTCGTAGCATTGTCTTCTTCATGGGACATCATGACGATGACATGTGCAGTCATTATATCATCAGCGACAGCCAACATGTGATTTCTCTAGCTCCCGAATTGGCGTCTATGACTTGGTCAATAACATTTGGATAGGTGTAATTGCTTCCTCATTCGTCATGTCATATGTCTGCCCACACACGGGGAGCATATGATTGAGCAGGAAGGCAGTTTGGACGGGTTCGGAAAGCCAGACTTCATGTGTTTCTTAAAAAACATGCTATATTTATGGTGGCTAGCTTAGAAAAACATAAACATGATTTTAGAAAAAATTTTTTGAAAATGTTTCATATTTTTCTAAGTTAAGTCAAATTTTCTATAAATTTTCTAATGTTAAATATGATTTTATCATTTCGAAATGCATACTTATTTTAGAAAAAATGGAATATTTTTTAAAAAATATATATATTTCTACAAATTTTTTATAAATTCTAATTAAACTCCATGAACTATCGTGAAAGTTTGCTTTATCTCCCTCGTGGTTGATGTGGCTCCATTTAGAATGGCTGGCGTGACTACACGTTAGCCAGAACCACTTTCAAAACCGCTTAAAGAAGTAAATCGGATGGTTTTAAGAGGTAGAGGAGTTTGAAAAAAAATCGATTTTTCTATTGTGATATGTAAATTAGACTCAGGCAATCGTTAAGGGAGGCGGATGGACTTTTTTTTCTCAGCATGAAATAGATATCGGGCCGTACCTCCTTCCCGCGCCTGCTCAGCATCTCCAGGCCCAATAACCTGCGCGCGGCTTCAGGCCCAAGAGCGGCCCAGCGTTGTGCCGTCCGGTCTGTATGTACCGTTCGACGTATGCACAGCTGACAGCACAGCCGATGTATGTACTCGAGGAGTGTACTAACTACTACTACTCCAGTAGTATCGTGCATGTATGTAGTACTATTATTGTACTAGTATGTATTTCGTACAGGTACATCATGTACGTATGTCTAGATCAATTCTGTTGCACGTAGGCCCTGTTTAGATCCCACCCAAAATCCAAAATTTCCCAAGGTTCTCCGTCACATCGAATCTTGCGGCACATGCATGGAGCATTAAATGTAGGTAAAAAGAATAACTAATTGCACAATTTGTCCGTAATTGGCGAGACGAATCTTTTAAGCCTAAATAGTACATAATTGGATAATTTTTGCCAAATACAAACGAAAGTGCTACAGTGTCCATTTTTCAAATTGGAAGGGATCTAAACAGGCCCGTACTGCACAAAGTAGTGCAAGTGCAGACACTACGGGCATGTTAAACAGTGCCTGCCCCCCTGCACTACTCACTGTCACTGAGCACTTGGTTGGGCTCTCGGCACGGCCTGACCCTCAAGTACGCTGGAAGCGGCACCAAGTACCCTGCGGAGCGTGTTGCTGGCGTGACACTTGTCCAGGCAGAGGCAGCTTTCCGTTGAACTGAACTGAACTGTCCCGCGCGCCCTGTTGCCTGTAACTCTGTAAGGCTGTTGCATATATATTTCCAACTGCACCAGCCCTTTCTGTACTTGCCATCTTCTGAATTCGGCCATCGTCTATCCGTTTCGTTGGTTTCTGTTGTACTCCTGTGTCCTGCTCACTTCGTTAGATACTGGTATACTACGGAGTATGCTATACGTACCTGCTTGCCGACCGGGCCTCTCTACTAGCTAGCTACTTTTCGAATGATCTTTTAATTACTTTAATTTAACGAACTGGTGAATAAGCAGCTATTTAATTAACTACAATAATAAGCAAGCGTTGGACCGAGTTGATGATCTTAAAAAGCTCGATGTTAAAGCTACTACAAATAAAGTAGGTCTTCATCCATGGATGAAACATGAAATTTGTTCAAAGTACTAGGACTAGAAGATCGAAGACTGATAAGAGCCTACGAGTACATGAAGACATGAAGAAGAAGGAGCTAGGGCGCGCAGCTAGTCACTCTCTCTTCTTCTTCTCTCGATCGCTCCCTCTACTACTGATGCTAAATGCTAACACTACTATACTACTCACTCACTCACACTGGTCGACCCAACTCTCTCGAAAGGAATTAAACAGCAGGGATCGGAAAGAACTGATGATCAGGATCGATCATCATGATAATAAGCAAACTAGCTAGCTAGGCTAATTGATGATCGATCGCTCCCTGATCGATCGAGCTACGTGCGCAGAAGATGCAATGCATGGGCGCGCGGCAACGTCTGCTCATCCTCATTCCTAGCTCATCAGTGGGAGAGGAAGCTGAAGGGCGAGTAGCCGTCGGACCCCTGCGACGACGCCACCATGCTCTCCCCGGCGCCGCTGGACGGGAACCCGCACAGCTGGTCCGCGTCGCCGGCGCCGCCCCAGAACCCGGCCACCATCTGCGCCAGGTCGTCCACGTCCTCCCGGAGACCCATGCTCATCCCGTAGGCGTCCGCGTCCGAGTACCGCCGCAGGTCCTCCACCGCCGCCGCGCTGCTCCGTGGCCGGAGGCAGCTCTCTGGGACCACGCTGCTCAGGTACCCGGAGTTGTCGTCCGCGCTCGCGAACAGGAACTCGTGGTGGTGGTGGTGCCCGCCGCCGCTGCGGTCGAGCAGCAGCGTGCCGTCGGCGCGTTCCACTGGCACCGGCATCGTCGACGAGCACTCGCCCGAGGACGCGCCGCCAGCTGCTGCGGCGCCCGCCGAGCCCTGGTGGTGGTAGTTGTGGTGGCCGTACGAGCCAATGTGCGGCGCGCCCACGCCGCCGCAGTACTGGTGCTGCACGGACGACGGCGCGTGCGCGTACGACGACGGCTGCTGCGCGTGGTGGAACGGCGCCAGGAAGGGCGGGTAGTTGTACGCGGCGTGCGTGTACACGAAGTTGGTGCGCGCCTGCGCGCCTTCATGGACAGCGCGGCGCGGTCGTAGGCGAGCGCCGCCTCCTGCGCGGTGTCGAACGTCCCCAGCCAATGCCGCTCCTTCGTCGTGGGGTCGCGTATCTCCGCCGCGTACCGGCCCCACGGCCGGCGCCGCACGCCGAGGAACCGCCCGGGCTCCTGCGCGCGCCGGCGTCCGCGGCCGGCTGGCGGACGCTCGCTCGGCGACGACGGCGGGGACGACTGCGGCTGCCCCGACGATGCCGTCGCCGGCTTCGGATGCTCGGAGAAGGCCATCATGGTCTGGTTGCTGCCGCTGCTGCTGCCACTGCCTCGGGTATTCATCATGGCACGATGAGCACGGGCACGAGTGAGCTAGGCTTTAGCTGAGGCTGTGAGCTACCTAGCTTGAGTACTGGCTTGAGGTCGTTTTGGAGTAGTGTATAAGTGGTCACAAGAGAGGGAGGGAGGGGTGGTATTTAAATGGAGCTTGGAGGTGTCCTTTGGGAGGGAAAAGGAAGGAGGGCAGCTGGGCAGGGCAGGGCAGGCACTGTGGATGAGATGAGATGAGATGGCAGGGGTGACATGCATGGTGCACCTGCATTTGTTTAACCATGTTCAATTCCAGGAGCAAATATTAAGGAGGGACTCTACTGGGAGCTTGCATGGTTTGTATGCATCTCTCTGTTCTATTCCCTCCAAGTCTCCAAGTGTAGTGTTTGGATTTGTGTGCCCTAACGTTAGGACCAATGGAAGGAATGTTGTGCTAAATTAAATGCGTGTTCTAGCTAGGAAATAATTTTTAGAATGTTCCCCTCTGCCCTCATTGTTAGGAGTAGTTTCATGCAGCACTTCATTCATTATGGCAATAAATGTTACATATATTAGAGCAGACGCAGTCTGCGGTAAACACACACATCACTAATCAAGTATAGGCCAGTGATGAAGAACAACAACCCCCCCCCCCACAAAAAAACACACACACACACAAGGTCACTAGGCTGAAATATAAGATACTACATTAAGTCTTTAATTGGGTCCTACATAAGTTATACGAGGAAATTCCTTGTGAGCCATTAAAAAAGATCGTAATTCCCTGTGAGCCACTGAGAAAGTTTAGTGGACTTCAGCGCCACTGCTCCAACTTTTTTTTTGCCCTCCATACCACTACCGTCAGATTGGGCTCTAACGGTGTCAAACTGCAGGTGTGAAGTCAAAAATACCCTTATGTCTAAATATGCCATTAATTTTTTTTAGTATCTTAACGACTTCAAATGAAAAACTCAAAACTAGAAAGTTGTAGATCTCATCGAGATCTATAATTTTCATATAAAAATTATCTTCATTTAATACCGCAAAAAATATATGATTTTTCTAAGATATATTAATCATATCAAATCATATCTTTTTTTGCGGAATTAAATGAAGATAATTTTTATATGAAAATTATAGATCTCGACGAGATCTACAACTTTCTAGTTTTGAGTTTTTCATTTGAAGTCGTTAAGATGCTCAAAAAAAATTAATGACATATTTAAACCTAAGGGTATTTTTGACTTTTCACATCCACAGTTTGACACCGTTATAGTCCAATCTGACAGCAGTGGCATGGAGGGCAAAAAAAAATTGGAGCAGTGACGCTGAAGTTCGTTGAACTTTTTCAATGTCTCACAAGGAATTATAATCTTTTATAAAGGCTCACAAGGAATTCGCTCAATTTATATTGCCTTTGCTTGCACGTAGTGGTGATGGTGCTGTGTGGGCTCGGTACCAAGTGTTACAAACATATATATATATATATATATAAAAAGATTATGAAAAGGTGCCTGCCACCGATGACAGAAGGAGGGAGCGAGGCCAAGAATGAACCGAACATATATACTCCCTATGTCCTGAAATATAAAGAATCAAAGTTTCTAATTAATAAGTCAGAATATTCTAAGTTCGACCGAATTTATAAGAAAAGTATTAGTATCTACCACATCAAAGAGGTAAACTATAAAGCTACACATAATAACAATGTGTCTAATGATACTAATTTGGTGTTGTAAATACTATTATTCTTTTCTATAAACTTAGTCAAATTTATAATATTTTGACTTTGGACAAACTTCAATCCCTTGTATTTCGGGACAGAAGAAACACATATCTAGTCATCAACCGACCCTTTTAAACGTTGTGGTGATCTATACCCAAGATACTACCACAGTAGTAGCAATTATGATACATGTCAAAATGCTACACAACATTATAATGCATGTGCTTTTTTTATAAGCCACCATATGGCTTTTCTTTTCATGAGTGCATGTGCTTGCCTGCGCAATACATGAGACATCCGAACGAACTAGTAGAAAAGAAAAATAAAAATTCCCTCCTTGCATGCGTGTAAGAAATTAAACCAGCAAACTTTGAAACAAATGGAGTGGTTAGATACAGACAACATTGTGAAAAGTGTAGAAGCTAGTAGGCACAGGCACAGCAGGCACTCTCTTTCTGATGCCCCATATATTTCCTGCTATTATTTTGACGTGTTTCCTTTGGTTCCATGCATAGATGAGACCTAGCCTTGCATTGTTGAGTGACTCTCACATGAGGTGAGGGTCCACTGGGTCTCCCCTCTTTGACTGCTTTTTGTGGTTGAATATATAAAGCTTGGCATGAGCCAGACAAATAATCCATGGATCGGAGGACCCGATTTTTTTTATTTTTCAGCTTTTTTTTGAAAAATATTCACAAATAGACACATGATGGTTTGATTTTCGTTTATGGACCATGATCTCGGCGCCATGGCTTTTGGCGCCGAGGAAACATGTCTCGGCGCCATGGCCAATGGCGCCGAGGTCTTGGCGAGACGTCGGACGTGGCGGTGACCTGACGCCGACGTGGACAAGGCCTCGACGCCATAGATCTTGGCGCTGAGCTGTTACCCTATAGACCTTGGCGTTTGAAATGAAACAAGTATAATTGTTCCGAGGAACATACAACAACACCATTGTGGTTCAGTTGGTTAGGACACGTGCGACTTAGCTCAAAGGCCTAGGTTCAAACCCTAGCGCTGAATTTTTTTCTACATTTTTAAACCATTTTTCGGCAAGTTAAGTTGCAAGATCTTCCCCCCTGTTCTTCCGTCTCCAGCCAGCCTGCGGAAATCCTTGGAGGATCGAGTTGCAGAAATTTGTAGCGACAGGTGGATTTCTCTTCCCGTTTGACCGGTTCGTCATCGCCGTGTCCCCAAATTTCTCACTTTTTATCCGGGTTTTCCGGTTTCTTGTCCAAGAACAGGCTTCCGTTTCCTGCGGCGGCGGCCTCCGTGCGGTTCTTGATCCGGGAGCTCACACTGGGCGCGCTTAATGCAGTCCGGACCCGAGCGGGGACTCCGGCAATGCGAAGGCAAAGCTGCCGCTGCTGCAGCCGGTGACGGCGCCGGCACCGTCGTCGGGGCGGGCGGCGTCCGTGCTGCCGTACAAGACGGCGAACGTGCGGGACCACTACCGCATCGGCAAGAAGCTCGGGCAGGGACAGTTCGGCACCACGTACCAGTGCGTGGGCAAGGCCGACGGCGCCGAGTACGCGTGCAAGTCCATCCCCAAGCGCTCTTAACTTGCCAAAAAATGCTTAAAAATGTATAAAAAAATTCAGCGCTGGGTTCGAACACAGGGCCTTTGAGCTAAGTCGCGCGCGTCCTAACCAGCTGAACCGCAATGGTGTTGTTGCATGTTCCTCGAAACAATTGTACTTGTTTCATTTCAAACGCCAAGATCTATAGGGTAATAGCTCGGCGCCAAGATCTACGGCGCCCAGCTCGGCGCCAAGATCTACGGCGCCGAGGCCTTATCCACGTCGACGCCAGGTCACCGCCACATCCGACGCCTCGCCAAGACCTCGGCGCCATTGGCCATAGCGCCGAGACGTGTTTCCTCGGCGCCAAAATCCATGGCGCTGAGGTCAGGGTCCATAAACGAAAATCAAACCACCAGGGTCTATTTGTGAATATTTTTCAAAAAAAGGCTGAAAAATAAAAAATTCAGTCGGAGGACAAGGATCATTATCATTATCCCTCCCAATTACATGCATACTTGAATCGCTAGCTCACATAAAATATAAACTATTCGCGCGCAAATGGACATTCGATAGCCTAGATTAGTACGTACGGTAGTGCGCATGCATGTGCGTGCCGGTGCTGGGTTCAAATGCGAACAAATCGAATTGTCGAAAGGAGTGATATTTAAACGGGAAACAGGCTAGAGAAGTATCCCTTTCATGTCTCTGTAGAGCCATTTTTAAGGAGCCTAATCGTTGGCTTTTTGGGGTCAAAAAGATGGATGAAGAAGGAGCCAAACCGGAAAGGGACGTGCGTGGTCTTGAGCTATCTAGGTAATGCATCCAATGCAGCAGCAGCACACGCAACGTCAATCGACCCACTGTTAAGTGTGTGCCATGTGAGGTGATTCATCATGCATATATATGCACTACACATGTACACGGATTAGCTATAGTGGATACCTTTTTACCCACCTAATTTTGCCTCGGGACGGGTAATTAAACCTCATCGATGATATCTTCGATTCTTGTATGACAATGCAATGAAGACTTTTCAGACCAAGGTCCTCTTTGGATTGCGGGATTTTTTTTCTTGTTTGTTTCTATCTTTTTTCTTTGAAGATGACGACTGATTTCTATGAAATTATTCATTATATGATTTCTGTAAGATTCTTGCGTTCCGGATGATGAATTAGCGCCATATATAGAGAAATCAGAAATGTGAATCATCCCACCTTCTAGAAGCGAGTGTTTGTTGTTATCCTGCTTGGTTCAACTGAAACATAGCCTCTGGGTAATAAGTAAGCACTACTACACGTGGTCAGTAGCTTATTAGTTACACGGGTGAGAAAACCGCGTTAATCTTCATAGTTTGAAGCATCTTGGTAAAGGCTGTTCTTGGAGTGTACAAAGCCTTGACTCCCCGTCCTCAAGAAAACAAACGAAAACTTGGATTCTTATGAGGAGCTGCATTTGGTGCAATTCTTGCATCTAAGGCCATAGCTTCTATCTAAGGCCATAGCTTCTATCTACTCCTAGTATTACATATGCAACTAGTCACGAGGATGCATGTAGAGGTAGTGCAGGATCTTATCTCTGGTGGCAGGATCTTAAGGGGGGCTAAAATAATGGAGATGTTGATTTGCTGGTGATTAGCTTGAAATCTTGAGCCCCCCGCCCTTTGGATCCGCCACCTTGACGTACTTCCCGGCCCTACATACCCCGGCCGGCCCTCTCCCTCTCGTGTGAATTTGGCATATACTTATATGCTGGCATGTGAAATGCAACATGAATGGGGCCAGATCAAG